GCTCCTTATTACAGCACTAATCTTATGTAATGGGAGTGAGCTCACCACCCTACAAAGCACTAATTATCAACAGCATTTTCCAAAGGATAAGAATAACTCCCCTTGTGAGACAGAGGCCCAAGGCACAACCCCAAGTAGCTGTATGTGCTTAATCCATAACATGAATAGTTCCAAAGGTCTCCTTTACCGGCTGTGCCTCCTCACAAGGGTCCTTAACACCAGCAATCCAAATACAATGGAGAAGCTGCCAAAAGCAGCACCATATTTTTTCTATTTGGATGGGTGTACTTTACAGCTGGAAAAGCTAATATTCACAGAACTAAGGGAATTATTTAATTTCCTAAGATATTTTCAAATGTCACATTCTGCTCACTCTTCCTTTGATCAAGCCAATTATTAAATGTCTCTGCTGATAGTGTAAGTTTTGTTATTTTTGTAGTCTGAGTTACATCAAATTGAATGTATACTAAGATCCAAGTAGGCACAGACAAATTCCTCTTTTAGCATAGTTGTGTGAAGATTTAGGCTTTGCTTTCTTTTCCCGTGTCATTGTGATATTTCCCAAAGGTACTTGCTTTTATTGCTTAAAACTTTGTATGATAATTATGGGATGAAAATTCTCTGTGATTCATCTTTAAAAGAGTTGTTCACTATCAAAGAGAAAAGTCTAAGAAAAGTGTAAGTACAATTTGGTTCTGTAATTTTTATTAATGTAAACAAAGTCTTACATATATCCATTTTCATTCTTGTGTAGATTGTAAATCAGAGGAAAACTTATGCTTTCTCACACAAAATGCCAATGGAATGGCCCAGAAACTACAGAAAAAAAAAATGAGATCCAATAAAACATACCCTTTCAAATGCTATATTATTTTCTTCTGCCTCTTGCATCTGTCATTGTAATCATACTTGAAAGGTCTTGAGCAGAAATTAGCTTGATTTTCATCAAGTAATGAATAATGATTTTCAGGAAGTAATGAAAAATGTCGGGATGCTGTGAGTTCTCTGAACACACTTTAGTACCTGTTCTCACTATCTTCACCTTTAAGATAAATTATCTGAAGTTAATGATTAGGCAGATATGCCAAACTTTGCAGCTTACATATTCCCTTCCTACTGGTCCATGCAATCTTGGATGTTGCTGGCATTCCCAGTCCATGCTTGTGGCAGTGGCCCCTAATCTCTAGTTCTCACTGAACTTGCACCACGAGTGAGGATCTAGGGTTCCCGAAAAAGCATTCACTTTTTATGTTGTACTAACACAGCTGCAATCAGCTCTTTTCCTTTAATATAAAAAGGTAACTGTTGCTGCTGCCAAAGTGTTTTTTGTGTGGTCCATCAATACGAATCCACCTCTTCCAACCACAGGAAACATTAAAAAATAATTTATTTCAAAACCAGAAAAAATCAAAGGAAAAACAGAAAAAAAAAGAAAGAGGGGAGGGGGAAGAAAAAGAAGAGAGAGAGGGCAGGAACACATTGTAGATGAGAAAAGACTGTTTCATGCCATAGGGATACAGTACAGCAAATCAGAACAAATTAGTTTCATATGGGTGGCCAGCAATGGATTCCACAGTTTAGTCTCATCTGAACACTGCACAGAAAACTTAATGGTTCTTGCTTATTTGATTCATGAAACTATCATCCCCTGATTCATGAGGTAAGGGAAATTTCCATAACCTCATCTGAGAATTAAAGTTTTCTCAGATTACTAGGCCAATGACAAAGGTGAGTTTATCACTTTTATTTCACATATACTGGCAAGAATTGTGCTCCCTGGATTTTGGAAACCAAAAGAAGTGAGACAGCACAATATTTATGTGCCAGTGCTGCATGTGACTAAAGCAGCTAAGTGGGTATGTGTATCCAATAGCTCACTGTAGTTAGAGACAACGTGCAATGCACTTGTAAGTACATTTATTGGTCTCCACTAAGGAAGTCATGTACGTGCTTTGTCCAACTATAGTATTTGATATTGGCTGGCTCTTAGCTTCAGTTTAAAAAATCTCAAGAAACACAATTTGGCATGAGCTGAAAAAGTCAAAAATTGAGTAATTCCCTTCCACTGAATTCATTGGTTGAACTACCTTTTAGGTGGAAAGAAAAGAAAAAAAGTTATTTGATTCCTTTTCCAAAAATTGCTAATAAAATGAATGCCAACACCTGGCAAAAGAGTTCCTTTCAATGGAATATTTTAGTTGTGGGTTTCCTTACATCCATGGGAAATGAGTACCAAAGTAATGCAATCCTTGTTCCAAAATCTCCAATGGTAGAGTCTGTGGTTCAATGATTCCTAATTCTTGGGTTGGTTTGTTTTTTTTTCTAATGGTTCAGAAAAAAAAACTGGGCCAGCTGCACACTAGGCCAACAGTTTCATCCACAACATGGTTTGCTGTTGCTGCTGTTTTTGTTCTTTTAACAAAAAAAAAACAAAGCATCAGAATTTTTTTTTCTTTTAATCCAAAACCTAATAAAATCATGTAAGCATGACTTTCAGATGATAGCAGGCTGTATTGGCAGAAAACTCGAACAAGTATCAAGGTAAAGATGAACGTACATCACTTGTAAATGACACAGTCTACCTAAGAATATAATGACTTTTCTGATAGTATCTCTAAGAAAACTCTTATACTTAAGGAATCCTCAGCAGATGAGAAAATTTCCTGCATGCCAGAAGTGTTGAATAGAATTGTGGGTAGATAATATAATGTTAGAGACAACATGGAGCTGGGCAACAAAGTTAAAAACAGCTGAATTACAGATGCGCCCTGATATCTAGAACACAAGAATTATTTAGATTTAGATTTTTGCTGTATGCATGAGCTGCCTCTAATCTCAGACATTCAATTTAGAACCTGAGTGTAGAGTGAATTTTGATTTTTATGATCACAAGTTATATTAATGCATTTAATGCTGTCATGACTGCTCTTCACTCGCAAATACATAAACAATGCAACATTTAAACACACACAGCATTCAAATTCATTGGAATTTTAAGACATATTCAGGAAAACACATTTGAGGCAGATATATTTAATATATGATATTCATATTAATTACTAAAGAAACAATAAATCACTGTAACCGGAAGAGTGGTTACAAAGTATGAAAAATGAGTTAAAAACTAGGGAAAAAGAGCAAATGAGGAAGCTACTCAGAACCATAATATCCAGAAACCATATGGAATAAGTTATGAGGCAAAGCCATTGAAACAACGAACATAAGTGATTTCAAGAGACACCTAAATTGTTTCCGAAGGAAGAGGCAGGGGGAAGTTGTTAAAAATAAAAGTGGAAAAAAGATCAATCAAATGAGAAATCTGTTTGACAGATGGTCTTACTTTGCTCTTAAATATCTTCATTTCATAATATTGAAAATTAAAGTAAAAATTTAATACTACATTTGCACAGTAGCCTGAATAAAATAAAAAAATAAATAAATCTCAGCCCTAATTTTAATTTCCTTCAACTAATTATTCAGTGACATACTAAATTTGTCTTTGGAATATATGAGCATATATCTTGTTTTACATTTCCCAGAGTAAGATGAGCTGCTGCTTCAGGCGTTATGTTTACACCCAAATTCATTTCACCTTATTTCAGATTCCTTAGTGAATCATAGACTCTTTGACCAACTACTGCAGATGGCCTCAACCACCCTTGAGCTCCAACGAAACCTAAACCACACTCAAGTGGATGCCTATTACTGCCAGTGTGGTGTAAGAAGACTCATGAGTAGACAGAAAATCACTCATCCAGAAGGAGTATAGTTCAAGGTCATCGTCCATCTTGTGCTCGCCAAGATACATGAGGACAGGTAAGATAAAATGATTAAATTAAACTCTTCTCCTGCAAAACTTTGTGGCTCCAAGAACAAATGAGTGCATTGGTACCAGCACAGATGCACTGAACCATCAGTCATGGCAACAAAATATTTCATTATCTTTCTTTTTTCCCCTGTGTTGTCACCTGACATAATGGTAGTTTCCCCAAGAAATGGCTTTTTTACAAGTCACTTTAGAGGACTTTAAAACTCTGTTTGTTTGCATGAAATGGTAATAAACAAAGCCTGTTTTGCCCTAGGTGTCTTTCTCCATAAGTTGTAGTCACATGGCATGCAGAAATGATCATTGCGTGCATGTGTGAGAATGTGCATATGTGTTTCCAGATGCTTTCTTTAAGAAGAATTCACAACTGGAAAAAAAATAATAAGCATGACCAGTTTGTTCATTCGGTTGGTCGGGTTTTTATGTAGTGTTTTTCAAAGTGTATTAAATAGTAACAAATCACCTGTCACTTCTACAAAACAGCCTGTTTTGAGTTGGAAAAAGCTTAATCGTTTCCTCTATCCATCAACTCTTTTATCTAGGTCAGTTAAGGGTCGGTAGAGAGTGTTCTCCCTCTCCATCTGGTGATTTTCCTTCTTGTTTTAAGGCAATAAGAGGTATCAACAGCACCTTAAATTTTTATGAACAGATTATTAGTTACAGGCCTCCTGAACCACCTAAGGATGGCTGTTTCTCTGTTCTAGATGTGGAGCTGCCATACAGACTAGAACAATCTCCAGAAGTACTTGAGAAGTTCCTTTGGGCACTTTCACAGACCCAGCAAACACAAGAGCTTGAATGTCATATCCTCATCTGAAAAAAACATGCTGTTCCATATACAGAACAGAGAGAATTGCCACGAGTCCTTGTACAGAACCAGAATAGTACAAGCCAGCCTAGCAGAGACCCTTAAACTGTGGTCTCAGACTTGACTTTTTTTTCTGTTTGGAAGCTTTGAGAGCTCCCACATATGAAATAGTAAGAACTAAGAATAAGATTTCAGTACTATGCCACCAAATAGTAGTTATCCCAGAACAAAAGTTTGCTGGCTGTTTGCTTGTGTGTATATTTAGTGACTGCATTTTTTAATACAGCTTCCTTCATTGCTAGTGAGAATTTGATAAGCCACCACAAAAAGAAATGAACAAGTGATTTAGTTTCAAAGGCATCTTACCAGTGGGCTACCATCAGTCCAGCGGAAATCACGCTCAAACATCTTGTCATTGAGGCCAATCCACTGGTAGTCATGCCCAATGCCTAAGGAACCAGAAGGATATTTTATTAACCTTCCCATAAATGGAAGAAATTTCACCAAAGAAAATGAAAAGAATTTGCACAGAATGAATCAGAGACCATGTTCTTAAGGTTCTCCCACTCATTATGCAAACAACTATTTACAGACTGGTTTTCAACTTTTCAATTTTATTTTGGGGTGTCTAGAAAAATGCAGATTCTTGCCTTACAGTTTATAACAAACCAGTCTCTTCCCTCCTGATGGCACCGCCCTAACAAAACAGATTAGTTTCCTACCTGAGTGCATTTGAGGGGAAGGAAAAAAAAAAAAGAAAAAAAAAAGGAAAAAAAAATAGAAGCACGTATTTTAATCTACATTTTTCAAGTTTTGTTTAAGCTATGACCAGTATTGTCTAAATTGTGCAACAAAACATATAGGAACTACTTCTTTATGCCTATTTCATACAATATGTGGTAGTGTGGTCATTGGTATCAGGTGCATAAACTATCCAAAACCTTCAAAATAAAAAAGGTTTCATCAGTTTTCAATGCCAAAACACTAGTTCTTGTTCTCGTCCTCAAAACCAAAGTGTTTTCAATGTAACATATAATAACTTAATAGTGATAGGGAGCTTGCTTTGGTTGCAAACGTGAATGTGAAGAACACAAAGTGTGCCTTTTAAACATTCTAAAAGTATATTTTAAGATGGAGATGTAAAAGGCTGAGTGATCAGGAGGATATTTCACTAGCTCTGAGCCCTCAAAGCCTGCTCTTGTTTGGAGGAATCCTAACAGTACATACGGTTCACAAAGGTCTGCTCCTCATGAGACAAGATGCTTGTCAAGTGTGCTCCCTGGAGACGGCATTCCCTTTCAGCTGTGTCCCACGTACGCCGATGGGCAAAGTATTTGTAGCACTGTCCTTGGAACTTGTGCCAGCCATAATCACAGGTCTCTGTGTCTGTGACAAGCAAAGAAATCACTGTCAAGGGGTGCAAAACACAGGCATGTTCCATGCAAGTAGATGGATTTTCCACAGGGCAAACATTCAAGAAGATAGACACCCATTAAGTAGTACAAATGCAAACCTTCAACACTCATCTTTGAGACCTCACTACATTTTCAGGTAGTTCTATTTAATCACTTTCAGTACAAGCTGCAAGAACATTACTTGTGTACGAAGTATAATTGCAACTGGTAACTTGTAAAACTCTTCCATTGATAAAATTGTGCTGTATGTGGACAAATTCAGGCTATCTTCAGTCCATAACTCTGGATAAATGAAATAACCAAGAAGTTTCATCAATCCCCAAACAAATCCATGCCTGAAAGCAACCTTTCCAGAAGTGTAGATACATTCTGGGTATGAAATTGGATTTGTTATTTTCAGTGAGTCAATATAGTCAATAGCCCATACCATGCTTTGGCTAAATGGGATCTTTCTGCATATAGTACAGAAAAAGCTAAATACTACAGAACATGCCAAGGATATATGACTGCAAATTCTTTACCAATACTATTTTTTAGGTTTGACCAGCTACCAACTGAAAGACAACTGTGTAATAATTTTTCTGACAAAACAAGGCAGGTTCTTATTTTGTAGCAGGAAGAGGACATTCACATCCTGAAGCACAAAGTGTAAATTTTTTTTTAAGACTTAAATCTTCCCAGATAAAAACTAAACTGTACATGTACATGAATGGGTTTAAAAATGCAAACTTATCACTTCAGAGGCTTACCAGAATTTCTCTGACAATTTCTGGTAATGCACTAACACTGAAATCATTGTCTTTATCAAAGTCTGGCATCAAAAAACATTTTCTGAAAGTCATCAGTACAGACATAAATGTACCAAATACAAACGCATAATGGAGCTTACAATGATTATCTCTCTTCAACAAATTAATCTGTAGAAAACTGCTTGTGCTTTGAGTAATCCCAGTTTTGATAAAGGAATGTAATCTATACTACCAACTTCTCAGTTTTTTATCTTTTCCCTCTTTGTATGCCGCATAAGGTACAGGATGCTTTAATCTCTGGCATCTAGGCCATTTTAAAGTTTAGTCTGCCTCTGGCCTTCTAGAACATTTGTTTAACCACATGGTGTTAACTAACAGTGCTATGTCCTTCATGAAGGCTCTTAAGGTTTTATTATTCATCTTGTTCAGAGACTGCCTTGTCCCACAGGAAAGAAGTCAGATAATAACAAGCGGCACTGCATGCTGAGAAAATCATGTCCAGAGAGCATTTCCAGGCTATTCTAATAAAGCTTTCCCTGACCTCTGCTAGGGAAGAAGTGCACAAGCCAGGAGATCTGCTGAAAGGCAAACAGGGGAGGCAAAGAGGCTGGAAAACACGAAACCTAGAAGACTCAGTTCAAAGAATGAGATATTATGGCCTTAGCATGAATCATAAATAATAAAGTTTCTTTTCTTAAGGTAGAAGATGCCAGACAGTGACATAGATACTCTTAGCTGCAAGTCATGCACTGCAGTGCACATACAACCCCTCTCTCTTATCATATATGGCACGTTATTTTCCAAAAGGGAAGAGCTGAATGACACCTGCACCTGTTTGTAGCCTAAATCTACAAAGACAGAAAAACCAGGTCTGAAGGCTACAAAATACACAGGAATTTTAGAAAGGGAAGAGAAGTTTTGGGGTTATTTTGGCTTGAGGGGGGGATTGTTGATTTGTTTGGGGATTTTTTCAAAGGATAGATGATAAGAGAGGAAGAAGGGATGAGGAAAGGGAGAGGAGGCTAGAGCATGAAAAAGGCAAAACAGGCAAATAAAAATGTGGGGACTGTTTCATCTCTGCAATACTTCATCCTGTGTGTATATCTTATTACATTAAAAATTCTCAAAGGGTGACACAAAGGTAAGGCCTTCACACGGGTATAAGTTTTTAATGCCTTTACTGAACCAATAAAAGTCTAATTGCAGGTGGCTATAAATTTTGTGACTCAATCACCTGTGAACAGAGTAGGTGCAAGCACTTACTAAATACAATACTCCATGTTCATTGTATATTTATCCAGGGAGGTAATCACACATTTCCGTAACCTTTTTCCAGAACGTGATGGAAAGACTGAAACCCTGCTTGCCATATTTATGGTGTTTTAAAAGTTGCCTGGCTAGTCTTAAAATTTATGACAATTTCCAGGCTTTCTTACTGATGTGTGCAAGGAGTTACTTACACAGCTTCTGTTCTCTGTAACTGGAATTGTATGTGTATAACAACATCTCTAAACACTGCATTAAGAAAAAAACCTCTCTGTAAGTTTAACACGTAGATACACTTTTTCAATAGCTGCAATAAGCTGCTGACAATAGGTCCATTGTCTTTAAAGAAATTTCATAAGCGTCTTAAAGAAAATAAAGACTGAACACACAGGTACTAGAACATAACGAGAGTCTTAGTGGTGAATTTTCTTTCTGACTGTCTGCCTTCAGCTAATGAACAAATGGCTAAGGCCCATTAGCCCACACATTTTGAGGAGAAATCCATTTCCCTACTAAATATTCAAAATAAACCCTTTTCAGCTGAAAGACATCAATTAGAGACTATCTGTTTTCAGAAAGTATCTTTGCTGAGACCTTCTCAAATACTTCCATCCCAAGCTACCATGCTCTGGGAACAAAGTGAATCAAATGAGACTGGAATAATCACAGACATTTGAACAATGAACTTGGTTTGTAAGGAAACATTCTTCCTGATGTTTTTAAAAAACATCTTTTTTTTTGTTTGTTTTCAGAGACTCAAGTGAACAGCTGTTTGTATTATCCCAAAGAAGCATGTCCCATAACAAACACACATGTGCCATTTTGGCACACAAGCCCATGCATGCAGCTGCATTTGGTAAACAGGCTAGCCTAGGTGTGCCTGCAAAGATCCTGCAGCCAAGAAAGCCAAACCTGAAGTTTAAGACAAAAACACTGTTCCTTGAAAGCAGGTAGACACCAGTTAGAATAGCAAAAGGAGAAAAAGGAAGGAAGGAAGTAAGAGGAAAATCTAAACAGGTGCTCATCCAGTTATCATAAAGAACATTTATCTGGACACTGAGAGCTCTCATTAGGGGTTTTCACAGAGGGATGACAATGGAAAGACTGATGACTCTCCCAGAGTAAGATTCACATCAAGATCTACTGCAGCCTGCAGTCGTACTTTGAAAAACTGTTCTTGCGATATTTTTGCATTTTAAGAAGTGTCGTTAAATGTTATCAAGTGACATGCAAAATATGCATCTGTACTTTGAAAAGATAATTGTGGTGGGCAAAAAAGGGTACTATCTACCCAGAGGTACTCTACTTTTAATCTAGTCTGAACCAGAAGTGATGCTGGCTTACTGAGTTACCAATCTAGTTTAAAAAAGAAACACTCTCAGCTGCTCTTATTTCTAGTATCAGACCACTTTAGCTCTTTTCAGGAAGAAGTTCCTGGGCTCAGATTGTCTGCTGCACTGTTTCCACTTGGCAAGAGAAACGTCTGTAAAGGAGCCAGTTACAGCTCACTGAGTCACAGGACTGCATTCCCTTACCCTATTTTGGATCTCCCTGAAGGCTCCTCTAACTTATACTCCTGCAGGAGCTTCCTGATGTGAAGCTGCACTGTCCTGTTGTCACAACCCCTCCTAACACTGACATAGGCATAACACATCAGCTGAAGATCCCTTAGACTAGAAAAGTCTCATGGGGGCATTTGGGTAAAATTCTGAGCTCTGTGTTTCTTCTACACCAGTGCTGTGGGACCTGGACATGGTGGAATTGTCCCCTACTTTGAGTTTCGTTTCCAGAGCCAATGCATGCTTGCTGCTATCATTTTCTCCCATGCCATTTTGAATACTCAGCACTGCGCCTAAGACAGCTCTTCCTCTTCACTTTTTTCAAAGCTTTCTAAAACAAATAGTATATATATTGGAGGAATAAAATTACAGAAGTAATGAAATATAATCTCAGTGTGATCAACTCCACCTTTCCTGTGGCACTGAGGTACGCATTCTGTCATCCTGGCTGGTCTTTAAATCTAGTGAGGTCAGGACCGGTGCCTTGAAATAAAACTTGTTTGCCAGACAGCCATGTCTGAATTGCCAACACTGTTTTATTTTGTCTGGTGGAGTGGAAATTTGGCACTAAGCGCTTTTGCTAAGTCCCAAACCACTGTAGGACTTTAAGTGGAGGAAATTTAAATTCCAAAGCAGAACTCTGGTTCTGATTGACAAATGAGGAAATGTTCCCATTAACCACCTAAAATGTGCTCTCAGGTTGGTCATAAAAAGCAGCTGAAAGCTACCATGGTACTCAGACCTACTCTTTGTTATGGATTTGCTGGAATGAGGGGGAGGAGGAAGGGAGTGAGAACATTTATTACTTTTCTTATGGAAACACAGTCAGTTTATAATTTGGGAGAACAGATTGGGAAAGCCTTTTCAAATTACAAGATTAGCCAGTCTACTGTAAAAGTTAAACAGTGAAAAATGCTGGAGTTGATCAGCTTCAGGAGTTCTCAGCTCTAACAAACGAATCTCTACGGGTTGAGCTGGAAGTTTGCAAACTGCTTTTCACCAAAGATGAGAAAAAGACATGAAAAAAACCCCAATGTTAATTAAACAAATTCAAAGGTCTAGTTCATTCACCTGTGACCAAAACCATTCAGCTGAAGGAAAAAAGTATTTTCACAAGCTTTGGAAAGTATCCTTTAAAACACCATTTATTTTTCCCATAGAAATTCCTTCATTAATTTTACTGAGATTTTGCTACCCTACTTTTCCCCCTACATGAACATATTGAGTAATCATCTTGCACTGTAAATATTTCTTGCAAGTACATTGGGATTTCTTACAGGTAATGTTCTAACAATTACAGAAACTTGGATATTTAATCTGATTTCTGCTGTCTAGTTAGAAAGCCTTTTACAACTTCCTCATAATTGTGATTCTGTACCTACTTTACCTAAAATAATCACAGAACAAATAAATTTGAAAATTCTGGGATGAAGTCATCAAGGTCCCCCAGGTATATAATCTAGCATATTCAGTGGACTATTCCTACTTTTCAGTAAAGCTTATTGGAAGTGATGGGTTCTGATATGTCTTTCACACTGTATACTATTTTTTAAGAGAGAAGCTTCATCAAAGAGTAATTCTACTCCCACGCATTATCCCACAAGCATCACTACAGTAATGAGAGAATGTTGTTACGTGACTTGACTGTAATGTGCAAGCCAATAGAGGCAGGCTGTGCTTGCCTTGGAGCCACCTGAAAACTGTGTGTCTGTTATTTTGGCACAGAAACTCCCTACTGTAACCATTTATATTTGGTACAACAGTAATGTTACTTCCAGTCAGGTTAGCACTTGGATAGAGTTTGCTGTCATCCATCTGCAAAAGATGGTACAGTTGCAACCTTAAGCAAAAACTGAGCCACAAATCATGGGAGTCTAACATACTCAAAAACTGTAATCTCTCCTCACCACTGATGACTCCCCACATTTTTACTGTTTCTTCGTCCTCTCATTTTTAGAAGGGTTTGCCTAGTTTCTCCAGAAGAGTGTTGAAATGGAAAGGGATGACCTCAATCACCATAGATTAAAGAATACACCTTACCTTGTTCACAAAGAGCACCTATATAGCTTGGCAGACACAAGCAAGTAAAGGTATTGAGGCCGTCTATACACGTGGCTCCATTCCGGCATGGGTTAGACTGGCATTCATCCATATCTACAACATAAAGGTAAAAGTATTTTCATAATCCACCCCCTTCCTAGAAGGGAAATGTTCTTCAGACCTAGTCATGCAGTCACCACTAGGACTGGACCTAGTCATACTAGGACCAGTTCACTCACTCCATTCCTGGCGGTGTTCAAAGCCAGGTTGGACAGAGCCTTGGGTGACATGATTTAGTGTGAGGTGTCCCTGTCCATGGCAGTGGGGTTGGAACTAGCTGATTTTAAGGACCTTTCCACCTCTACCTATTCTATGATTCTATAATAATCCAGAATTATTGCAAAAGATCCAAGGGAATGGTTTATTTGCATGATAACTAATTTTACTATGCCTAATGCGGCCTCTTCAGCCACAAGCCAAGCAGCAATTTCCTTAGGAAATGTGACATTACTGATCCACAATTTTATATCCTGTACTCTGACTCCTGAGTTCTTAAAAACTATCCCAAGAACTATCCCAAATATTAATGTTTATCTGGTTTTATGTGATGTATTTGCGAATTCAGTGTAATGAATTCTAGGTCATGTAGTTCATTTACAACTCTTACATTTGTGTGTGTACATGTTTGTCCAGTCTAAGGGAAGAGAGAAAAGGGGTATAAGTGAACCTCCTTCACTTTATTGTTCTCTTCTTAACAAGGCCTCACTATAGAATTTTTCAAATGTCTATGTATTCTTTAACTTCAAAACACAACACTTCTGCAGATCTCATGTATGAAGGTTTTATACTCAGTAAGTGCCTAGATTGCATCAGCTTACCTAATTCACACTGCTCGCCGTTGAAACCTGGCAAACATGTACAGATGTAAAATGAGCCACGCGGATAGCATGTACCACCATTAAGGCAGGGATTGCTTTTGCATGGATCTTGGCCTGTTGAATGAGTAGAAAAAGGAAATTGACTCTGTAGCTTCAAGGAACTGGTGTCTTTTATTTTTTAGAAGAAAAAATAGTTCTTCATTACTGCATGGATGTATCAGGCTTTAGTGTAGTTAGAGAAACTCTATTAACATAATACGCTAAGGAGAATAAGATCATTTTATATAGTAGTAAAGCTTATTTTCAGGCATTGCTATTTTCAACTTTAACAATTTTAACAACATGGCATTTACTATGAACCAGTATAAATAACTTTTAGAATTACAGTTTTTCATAGCAATTTGTACTATATTTGAAAGCTATGGTATTCTATTGAGGATTTAGTTTGCATGACATGGTAATTAATTATAGCTGAAAATAGTTAAAAATATGCAAAATGAATGGAAAATGCTTGCTTTTTTTTTTTTTTTGAGCAGGGTTAGTTTATATGGAATGATTGGGTACACAGAACATACTAGCTGGTTGCTGTTGTTTCACTTACTTATATTTAATCAATCAATGCCCCAAAGGTCTTATTTCTTTGAAAGAATACTTTCACACATGCGTACTTCCCACCTTTCTTTAAAACACATCTCAAGAACACAAAGGTACTGAATACATCCATAACTAAACACTAAGAAAAATGCTTACCTGCTGTGAAATCCTCAGTTGTTATGGGAGTTACCATTTAAACGGCTTTTCCTTGCAGAGCTTTATGCCTTCTAGTGATGCTTATATCATCTGAGTTTAGAAACCTAGGTATTTGCATTTTATTTAATGCATAGGAGCAATTAACAAGTATACATAACCATTTTTTGAGTATCTCAGAGTCAGAGGATAATCAGGAAGATAGCCCTTCTGGGATACAAGAAGTAAGCCTTGGCTTTGGAAACTTAAAAAAAATGGGTGAGTTCTGTAACCTAAATTAATTTAGAAACATAAGAAAAGTTTAGATTTTTGGTTACATTTTTCCAAAACAATCTGACTATGGTTTATGAAATAAAAGGTAAGTAATGTCTATTTTACCCTTGACAAATTAGACATTCAAAGACGTCTCCTTAAAGTACTAAGTTCTCTATCTAGTCACGGGAGAGCAGAAGCTTCAGTTAGAAGCCTCCACATGAAAACCCTGTCTACATAAGTTGGGATTGTAATTTAGTGGCCATGATTTTGCTTTGGAGGTTTTGAAATTATTCGGATCATATCCATAAAATAGGTTGTTTTCTATGGGACTGCTTCCTGAAAGTCCCAAACATAAGGCTATGTTAAGCACCCAAGGATGTTTCTTGTGCATTTACCATTTGCTTGTCCTCCTATGGACTGGATATTTTCCCAGTTAACATTTTCAGATTAATAGCTTCCTGGATTATTTGACGAAAAATAATAGAAAACCACATGAAATTAAGCTGGTTCAATTCTTTCATCAACTATATCTAGGTAAAATGTGAATTGAAGCAATTGAAGTGACCCTACCTGCCTCATCTGTGTATTTGGCGAAATGCTGCCTAATAACCATTACGTTAAACAAAATACTGTGGCAAATAACATTTAACTAAAAGATCTTCAATTTATAAGTCAGACACTGTATCAACCATTGAAAGTTACAGACAGGCTGAAAACATGAAGTCTCGGTTTTCTCTTGTCTGAAAAGTCATCTTGCAGGCTAAGAAAAATTACTTTTTATAGAAAATTCTGATCTTAGAATACACACTATAGATCCATTCTCCTAGTCAACTTCAAGATGTTATAAACCAATCCTAACTATAAACCGATTGCGTAAGTACTGTTGTCATGCCCATACAAAAAAGCTATCAGACAAAATTATCTGAAATTGGAAAATCAAACAGTTACAGCTGAATTCTCTACCACAATCAATGTTACCTTCCTGTCTTTTAGAACTGGCTTGTCACCTCAAGTCTGATCCAAAGCTCCACAATGCTGAGGAAAATAGAAACCTCAGGAAAGTCAGTGAGCTTGAGATTTGGTCCTCCTATCTTCCTTCACTTTGTAAGGGTTATGATCATGTGGATTTCAAAGCTTGAGCCTCACGAGTTCTGCTGTTATTTCACACAGTGCTCTGATTGTCATACCTCTTATCAGAGTTAAGACACACATTTACATGTATCACAACAAACATATACAACAGTGATTGTATTTGGAAGTTACCTGGAATTTGCACTGCTGTGCCTTCAACTGAACCCACACTGGTGCCAACCAGGAAATCTGATCCATTAGTGACTTCCCGAAGGAAAAATGATGAAGTTACAAGTTCAATAGTGTTTGGCTCCTCAAAGCTTATCGTAGACTGCTCATTCTGAAACAGACTGTTTGCAGGGGTAAAGTTGTTTGTTGCAATGTTAGAAGAAACAGTTGTGATCTCCTCTTGCTCAGACAAAGCTGATTGTATTTCTGTGCTTGCATCCAAAGGCTGTGAAGATGAAGCTAGCATTGTAACTGCTTCCTGGTCAGGCTTAAATGCATCACTTTCAATGCTATTGGATGAATCTGAAACAGGTGTGGAAAAAAGCCATGGGATCTCTCTCTCAGTACTTCTGTCATCTTCTTGATGAGAATTGTCCACTCTCCCCAAGGAATCTTCAACTTTTACTGTGCTAACATTTGGAACACCTGTGCTCACACTTTCTCTGAAATTCAGAAAAGCAGTAGGCAAGACATGTACTGATGGAGAATCTCCAGAAAGAGTAGCTTCTTCTTCAACAGCCAAATCAGTTATAGAGGTTTCTGTGTCTTCTGTCCTGTCTGTTACAAAACTGTTAAAGTGAGGAGTACTTTCAGTAGTTGTGCTTTCTGAAACAGGCTTGGGGGAAAACTCCAGCAGAGGATACTCTGTCCTGTCAAGAAGGTCAGTGGTGGGAGGTTTATATGTTGCTGCAATATCAGAACTGACCTCTTTGAAAGTTCTGGCTGATGAATGATCAGGCTGATCTGAATCCTTTGAAGATGATGTACTTGGAATGATTACATCAGAGTACTCAGATACTCCATTAACCAACTGAACAGTCACTGAAGATTTAGGAGTTTGACGCACTGAATAAAAGCCTGAATCTGTTTCTTCATACTGTACTGATGCCGATTTTGTGCTTGTGTATACTGTGGGATGTTTTCTGTCATTCTTGCTAGATGATGCAGTTGTCAGCTGGGATGTACGCTGTGTGGTGACAATACTTACATCAAGCATGTCAGTTGTCAAAATCCTGTCTGCCTCAGTAGTAAAAACTGGTGTAAGAGAAGGAATCACAGGCAGCTTATCATCCAGTTCTTCTTGTCCCATTCCAGAAAAGCCAGAGACTGTTTCACTTTGATCTGTTATTACTTCGTTTTTTGCTGAAGTATTCAGCTTGTAGTTGTCATCTGTTGTGCTTGTTACAACATGTTTAGACTCATGAAGCACATGATGGTTTGCCAGTGATGGCACTGTAGGAAGGAAAATGCCCAGTTCAGAGAGTTCAGTAGCAATGAGAGTTTCTGTCGCAAACTTCCTTGCATTCCCTGAACCTAGATCCTTGTCATCTGATTTTGGTCTGTGTCCAGATGTTATTGATTCACTGCTTGGCTGACTGGAAGTAGTTGAAGAAAGACTATCATCAGATCCAAGTGTCTTCTCTTTGGTTATGAAAATTTTAGGTGTTGATTCATATTTCTCCTCTTCAGCTGTCATGCTATCATCACCACCATATGTTGACTGTATAACAAGATTTGGCATTGTCTGCACACTTATTATATCTTCAGGCATTGATTTAGAGTGATCCATGTCTATAATAGTTGTTTCTTCTGATGGGATTTGAAGTCTTTCTTCAATTAGTGTAATATCACCATAAACAGAGATGTTCAATATAACACTTCTTTTATCATCAATCACTGGGATAATTTTCTCATATATCCCAGTATCCCTTGTTAGCTCTTCTGATGCAGCTGTCTTTGATTGAACAGCAGATGGATTTGCCACAATCTCTTTATCTTCTGTAAAAAGGGATGCCAGTCCTGTGATGACAGTCTGTGGTCCATCTATTGGTGCCTCTGTCGTAACTTCAGAATAAGCTTCCTCAGTAGCACTAGACGAAGCATTTAGTTCTACCTTTGACACAGGGGGTATTGACAAATGAGTAAACATATCTGAAAATGAATCCAAATCACCAACCCAGCCAGACCCTTCTCCAGAGCTTTCAGATAATACTCTGCCTGGCATTTTTGTTGTTGAGGTTACAAGCGATCCTTCTGTTTCAAGATTGGGAGTTCCACTCAGTATTACAGAAATGGGAGTTACACTATGTTTAAACAGTAAATTTAAAGTTTTCTCTAGAGAACCAGCTTTAGAAGTAGATGTTCTCCCACTTATTTCATTTTCTCCTTTCTTATAGTTAGCTTCCTTATCGTGGGGTTTTGAAGTTGCAACAAAATAATGTGTCACCTCTTTAATCTCTTCAGAGGTGAAGCTATTGGAACTCTCTTCTGCTAAAGCTGGGGAACTGGTGATCACTGAGCTGGGAAACTGGTTTTCTGGTTTTACCAACAGCCCAGCTACAGGACTTGTAACTTCTTCATTAACATCAACATTTGATTCAGTGCTTCCTCTGTCAAAGTCTTGTGTCCTGTCAGTTGATAGTTTGGGTCCCAAATTTGCAGCATGAGAAGTATGAGGACTTAAAGTACTTGTAATTTCTTTGACAGCTAATGGCATTACAGCAGAAATAACAGCAAGGTCATCTCCTGACCCTTGTCCTGAAAATAATGCATCACCGATAAGCTCGTTATTTGATAGCTTTTCTTCTTTGGGTGTCAGGAATGAACTGGGAATATCTTTCATAGGGAAAATATTTTGTACCAACTCCTCCTTTTGCTCTGTATCTGTACCTGGAGAGCTTATGTATTTCCTTTCAATCTTTGAAGGTTCAGTTACTCTGTCATCATTAAATGACAAAAGGTTTTTTTTAACAGATTCAGTTTCTAATTCCTTTTCTTCTGAATACAGACTGTATACAGTAGGAACATTTAATAATCCTGTATGTTCATGGGTAGCCTGTGTATTTTTACATAAAGGGTCTATTGTTGCTTCTTCAGAAGGTTCTACAGCTTTTGCTGAAATTTCCTGTGGCAAACCTTCTCTGGAATACATATCTTCCACCAAAGGAGTCTTCGTAGAAAAATATCTCACTATCAGTTCATCAATTTTTTTCTCTTCCATTCTCATGTCAGTTACAGTTTCCATTGTGGTTGATTCATGTTCAATACTTGTGACTAGCTTGCCAAGTTCAGTAGTGAAAGCATGATTCATGGGTAGTGTGCTGACAGCTTTTTTGTCATACTTTTCTTGTGTTTCTGGTTCCCCAGTGGGTGAAACTGCTGGTTTTGTAAATGATTCACTGAATGTGTCTGCTTCCCCAGATCCCTGATCAATAAATGGGAAATGACTTCCAAGTATTTCTTTAATGGGTCCATTAGACATTAGTTCTGTGGTGCTGCTGTCACCTTTGAATTCTTCTCCAGAGCCGTGCTCAATCAGGAGAATCTTTCCTAATGAGACAGCTGAAGAACTAACTTCTGCATTTCTGCTTTCTGTAGATACTGCTACTCCTTCTGCACTGCCAGTACCATGTGTCACCATGATGTCATAAGGGCTGTTACTAACCACTGATTCTGGAGATGGTGTGACCTTAGTTGTTTCTAAATCTTCAGTTTTAACTCCTGATGCAACATGAGATATTACCTCTTTTCTAGACTCAGGACTAGATTTTACTTCAGAAGGAGCTGTGTAAGCTGGTTCTGTTTCCTGCTGCTGTTCTCCCAGGTTTCCTGTACTAAACACATCCTGGGGCATCTGACTTGTTACTTCAGGCTTCTTTGTCAAGCCATCTGACCTAGTACTTGAAATTGATATTGCTGATTCATCTGGTCTTGCATGTTCTTCATATTCTGTTGTTGTGTTCTTCAGTGAAGTGTCATATATACTGTAAACTTTTCCTTCATGCTTTTCTGTTTGTGTTTCGGTGATAGCTCTTATTGGAACTGAAGTCAAAGTAGCAGACTCAATGATAACATCTATGTTTCCAGAACCTGACTCAGTAAATGGTGAGTCAGTACTTTCTACTTTTCTCGTGGGACCCCCTGAAAATATGTCTGCTGGTTCTTCTGCTGATCCTTCATTTATAAAAAGATGTTTCTCTCTCAACAGAGGAATAGTGGTGAGCTTTTTCATTTCAGAACTCATGGTACCTGTTACCAGTACTGTTTTTCTGAGGGGGGTGGGGCCTTGTCTTACAGTTCTGACTTCACTAGTAGTGCTCCCAAGTTCATTGAACTCTGAATTTCCCTCTGCAGCAGTAGCTGAGTTTTCCTGACTTGAATAAACAGTGGTTTGCACTTCTTTTTCATTTTTTATATTCTTTTCAGTTACAAAAGAGCTGGCAACTTCTTCTGTAATAAACTCATACACAGAATTGGTGGCAACAGTTAATTCAGGACTTTGATCAAAAGCAGAATAGAGAGTGCTGATTCCTCTGGGCAAAGCAGAAGTGACTCCTGAAGTGGTTATAGAAATTTCTGTTGGCAGTACTGTTTCAGAACCCAAAGAAATATCTTGCATTGAAAATGCTTCTGTTACTGCCATTTCTGTTGTCATGGCTGAAGTTATAGTGATGTCCTTTTCTACATCTCCAGATCCTTCTGGAACTATAAAAGAAGCAGCACCCATCTCAGGCTTTCCTGTATGACTGCTTGTTTCCATAAGACTTTCAACAGGGGAGTTTGGAGCAAATTTAATAGTTGATTTATAATGATTTCCTGGAGTAGCGGATGGCTCTTCTGAAAGAAGGTCATTCATACCCGTGCCTACTGTAGCAGTATTAAAAACTGTATCCAGAGAAGCAGTTACAACAGAACCTTCCACAGCAAATACAGCAGGAACAGAAGTTGTGCCAGAATTTTTTCCGCTATCTTTCTTTCTTGACATTGTCACAATTTCTGAGAAGACAGATCTGGATAAATCAGGTTCAATGGAGCCATCTCCAGAAGATTCATTAGTAATCAGAAGCAAGTTTTTTGTATCTTTAGTAGATGTCTCCTCAGTTCCACGCCATGTTACAGTCTCTTTATTTTTTTGCAGAGACTGCACATATGAAGTAGTAATGGCTACTGATTTATCAGTCGTAGCAACTTCTAACTCACCACTATAAACAGGTTCTAACATTGCAACATCTGCTGTTGGTTGTGTAACTTCAAATGCCCCTATCATTTCTCCAGCTTTGCTTGGTTGCATAGTACCAGATGCTTCATTTTCAGGTATTATAAATTTGTTTGTTTCATTGATTTGAGAAAAGGTTACATTTTTGGAATGTGCAACACTTTCAATTTGGTCACTTCTCGCTTCCTCAGCTTTTGTGCTCTTAGGTGGACTAGTAACTTGTTGCTTTCCATTGATGAACTGCAAAGCTGGAGGAGTTGTAACATCAGTAGTATTTTCACAGTCTTCCTCTTCTTCAAACTCTACAAAGTTTGGAAAGAAAGGATCCAATATTATATATTCAGATGAATCCTGCACAGAGTCTGAAGTACAGGGCTCAGTCTGAGCTGATTCTGCATCAATGTGGGATTCATCTACTGCATGAGGAAGCATGTGGTGACTGAACAGATCCAAAAATTCATTCACCGGATGATCTGCAAAAAAAAAAGAGCTTTTCATAATCCCTAAGTGACAACAACAGTTGCGCATTATAATAGATATATGAAGTACAAACAATCCGAGAAAAAAAAAACAACAAAAAAAACAACCAAACAACAAAAATTTCAAAGTGAAATACAGTAAATTCAGCGGGTTCGTCTACTCACACCAAGTTAAATGCCACCACAGTGTTTAACTTTCTAATTAAAATCTTTGTGTATACTGAACACATTGCTCATATAATGCTGTCCATTGCCACCAATGTTTAATCCTAAACCCACATATAAGCTAATTTATCCTACACTATTCAGCAGAGGTAAGAAATAGACAAGATGAAAACCATATGAAGACCAAAAGACTCTGGCCCCAGCCTGCAGCAACTGCTTCCATGGATATGAGACACGCACTAACCTTTACCAGAAATCAGACTGAGACAAAGCTAAGCAATGCAAATAAGAAAATAAATATAGACCTATAGAATATGCCTCTGCAACTCTAATTTTTCTCAATATAAAGTAATATTTACAGAGGCTGCCCAATGCCACAGAAAAAAAATATATCTTCTGCAGCCATTTACTTGTCTGCCCAGATCTCCTTTTAAAATTTCATTCAAGCATAAAAACAATAATTTAGTTATTTGTCCAAGATCTGCAATATGATATGAGGAGGCATGTCTAACTTCACATTCAGAATCCACAAATTCTAGCATATAACATACTGAAGAATCATATTTTCATAGAAGTAGAAGCTCTAATCAACACAGAATTGTACACCTTCTTTGCAAAACAGTGTATGCAAGAATAAATGAGAATTCATTAACTGAAAGAAGGATGGCAAGTCAGAGCTGCTAGGGAGCTTTGAGAGCTTGTAATTCTCAGTAAATCCACTTTAAAATAACTGCACCGACATTCAGAACCAGAGTACTATATATTGAAATGTGCATGGGCAAGAAAGATAGCTTACTGTGTGCATAACTTAAGAAGGAAATATATACCTAACCTGCTATATAGCGTAATGTAGAATACAAATTAACTATGATTTCATACACAGCTGTTAGGATTGTGTGAACAACACATGTAGCATGCTTTTTACACAGAAGTAGACATTAAAAAAAATATATTAAACCTGGATGGATCTGGATAAGCTGCAATTTGTAGGAGGATACCATGACTAACAAGTTCTGACCAGTGTATTATTTTTGAAACAATGCACACCTGGGAGTCCCTCAAATTACTAACTCATGCTAAGTCATTTATGGTAGGTAATAAATTTAGTGAACAACATCTGTTCAAAATTCACCTAGAAGACATATAAAAATTCTTACATATGCAAAGATCTCTATCAGACTTTACTTTTACTTTGTTACCTTTTTCAAGATCACACATGCCACAAAGATCCACATTAAAGAAAATTAGCTAAAGGTATGATATTCCAATAATTAACTTTCAGAAGGCTCTTTCATTAAATACTAAGCATTTTTGTTTGGGCTCTTTTTCAAACAAACAGACAAAAAAAAAAAAGGAAAAGAAAAACAAACCATCAGCTTTTTAAAAAGTAGTGATTAATAAAATGGATTTTTTTTTTCTTTAATTAGAATTTTTTCTCCTTTCTAGAGCTTTGATTATTCAGTGTTAGTAATCAAGTTTACAGTGCTCAGGAATAACAGCTGTGGAAAATCTCTTAAACCCCAGAGATGGCCAAGAATCTATGCAACAATATAGCTCATATTATCTTGTCCTATAAGTAAGACACAAGGATAAAAAACTAAATACTACTATAAAATATGAATACAGGAGGGAAAAGTCTTATCTGTTGAACGGGTCTGTTCGACCTTAGGGCAGACACAAGAAAATTTGCAGCAGTTTTAAACTGGCTGGATGCAGCTGCCACATGTTGCCCCTAATTATGTTCATGTCCACTCCAACTGTGGGTAAAAACATGCAGACTTGAGATTTTTAATAAGAGATGAAATGAGGACTTTAAAAGGAAGGAGTTTGGCTTCTAAATGTGTTTATCAATAGTTCACAGATTATCATGGCAAATGAGCCAAAAGGAGCACTTGTTTAAAGAGGTGTTTTATTATTGTGACTCCAAGAAAAAGAAAGTAAAAACGAAGTAGCTAAAAAGTAGTAAAAGCAAGGGCTGCCAGTTCAGACTGCCAATCCAAACAAGCCCCAAAAGGAATTTATCTGTAAAGCCTCTTATTGAGGAAAGTGATGAGGTACACACTAGAAAATTAAATAGAAAGGTGGATGAGTGTATATGCAGCCTAGAGTGTTCCTTGATCCATTTAATATGTCTAAATGTCTTAAATTAACTGTATGGAATAGGCATCTATCTCAATAACAGTCAACTATGTGCAAGAAATGGAAATCGTTCTGGCTACAGGGTGCTTTTTAGCCACAGGAAGAGTTGACTGCTACTACGTATAATCACAGAGAGACTGACTGATTCGGCACTAGTTTTCATTACAAACTTTCTAATGACAATTGGTTCTAAACCCATGTTAATTTGTCACTGGGTCAAATATAGAAGTTGTGTCTGTGTTATTGACGATCAAGCTAACTTCTCAACACCCAAAGGACGTGTAATGCATAGCAACGTTCTTTCTTGAGAAAGATAATTTTTGAGAGGGTAAGCAGTAAAGACCATTTTCTCTCTCAAAAATAAACAAACTTCAGAGAAGCAGCTGTAGAAGAATTAACAGAGAATTAAATAGAACACAGATTATGATGTTTTCCAAACTTTCAGAAAAAAATAAACTCTTCCATTTAAATACTTATGGATTTAGGACAGTTTTGTGAAGTCTCATTGAAAATGGGACTGATAGCACCTAATTTGGCACCCTACATGTAACATTCCTGCAATTTGCCCATTCATTGCTTCAGAGCAACATGGTGAGCTCTTTCTGACAAGTAACAGAGTTCAGCCTTTTTTAGGACTAGAAGTACAATAAACCCATGAAATTCACAGAAAGATTCATAAAATGTTCTGTGGACTTCAGGCTCCATATTTTGATTAGAATAGCTCTAAAAAGGGGGGGGGGGGGAAAGGCCAAAAACATTTTTGACTGTTCATTTCAAAAAACATCCATTTCATTGCATAATGTGACACTATCACAAGCTTCATAACATTCACTACCAAGAACTGGTAAACACAACACAAGTTAGAATGAAAAAAAACAGAATAGCTTGCATTAGTCAAATTCCTTCCTGCACTCAATAACTGAAATATTTGGGTTTGGGCTTCAACTGAGTTATATCAGGGCTAATTTAGACAATGGTATGACTAGAGTACTGTATATATTATATATGACATTAAAATATTGTATACATGTGGTTTTCTATCAAATTTCTGCAAATTCAGTGACTGACAAAGGTAATGCAGTAACTTGCAATGAAAACAAAAAAGCTTGGTTCAGACAGAAAAGTAATAAATAATTCAAGGTAAAATAAAAGAGAAAATCCATGGGGTTTTACTCCATGCATACATGTTAACTACTCTTTTTTTCCATGTTGTGTCACCTTATTTCTTTTCTTTTCTTTCCTGTATATATCTTGTAAAGATAGGTACAAAATATCTAATACTTAACACTTGGCACAATCAAGTCAGATGTCTCAAGCTTCATAAGCAGCTATTGATCAGACCTCTACTCATTCAAAAAACTTTATTCTAAGAAAGTCGTTGCAGGAACAGATTGTAAAAATATGCTGTGAAAAACACATAGACAGCAATGAAGACTGAAGGAAGACACGATTCATCATATTACTTATTTTTGTACACTACGAACATGGTGAGGCCCTGGCACAGGTTGCCCAGAGAAACTGTGGCTGCCCCATCCCTGGCAGCGTTTCAGGACAATTTGGATGGGGCTTGGAGCAACGTGGTCTTGTGGAAGGTGTCCCTGCCCATGACAGGGAGTTGGAACTGGATGAGCTTTAGGGTTCCTTCAAACACAAACCAGTCTGTGATTCTATGATTTGCTACAGATTGAAGCTGCTTTGAAAAGCACATCCAAGCAAACAATCCACGGAGTAATGGACACTGTGTTTGATTAAGACTTTTTGAGTAACACAAACCAATGTCTTTAATGTGTCATCTCAAAATCTGCGCACATCTGTGGAGCACTTTTGATGGCTTTGGTGACTTCTAAAGAGCAAGGCTACAGCCAGCAGACTTAAATTTAGCTGACTTAAATTAAGCCAACAGGTGTCTCTATTTCATCTGGAAAATATTTAAGAGTCCTCTAAATAGAAGAAGTTTAAAATGTTTTATTTAAACCCTTTGAAAGTCCAGTGACGTCTCGTATCTGGCTTGGAAGAGGAGCTATCACAAGGAAAGTCTTTAACAGCCTTATGTCACATATTGACTCCCCTAAATCTCAGTTCTGCCAGGGACCAGATTTGCAGTCTTTGTGGATTCAAGCAGTTTTATGACTACAGCTTGCTGAAACTCTTCCAGCAAAACAAAACCCAACCAATTCCCCAGAAACCTGCCAGTCTTACTGAATAGATTTTGTTTTAAAAGCATACTGAAGAAGTAGTGATCTGGCAAGATTGTCTCCATACCAAATTGAACAAAAAGATATTTTTTTTTGTTTCTGTTGTTTCAAAACCTTTGTATTTGAGGCTTTTTCTTCCTTAAAATATTACATTTAAATTGGAACAGAAAGCTTCACTTTTACAGAAATAAAGCATTCTGATAACATCTTTTGGGCCATTTTGTTTCATAGAAAAGGGATTTTTTAGTTGCTCTTTTCATCTCATTTCAAAAGAAATAAGATTTTGGAATACAGACATTTCCTGCTGAAGGAAAATTCCAAGTGTCAGCCTTCAGTTCATGCAATTCTTCTAACTTGTGCGATCTTGTAATATCATTAGCCTACTAAGCACAGTCAAAGTGCAATAGTGCTTCAGGCATACCCCGTATCCCCAGTCAGGAAAAGGTGGGAATACTGCCAAAGAGCTGATCTAAGGTATTAAAGAAACATAGCTAG